TGCCGGGCGCGGACAGGCGATGCTGGCGCGCTGGCGGTCACTGGTGCTGCGGGTACCTCGCGTATGCTGGTGCGGGCACGGACTGGCTCGGGGCAGGGTGATGAAGATCGCGTGTCCCAATTGCCGATAAACCACAAACTCGTGCCTTGAATCGCCGATAGGTGCCTCGTAGGTTCACAAAACCGCGCCCCTTCGAAACGATAAAATTGCAAAAGAAATCTAGAAGAAATCTAAGGCAAAGTGTTTGAACAAAAGTTCTGTTTTTCTATTAATTTCTGAATGATAAAAAATAACAAGAGGAAGAGCCTTTATATAGGCATCAAATAGATCTATTCCTAATCTAGCTATAACTCTAATAAACCAATAAAATATTAAGTATCCTAAACAATCTAGAAATCATAATGGAATAAGGAAACCAAATAACTAAGGGATCTTGAAAAGCCTTGACTTGCACCCCAAGCCAAAAATCCCAACCGCCCTACTTGCCGCCTTTGGACCCCCGCGCACCTTGCCTTAGTCCTCGAGGACTAAGGTCGCGTCGCCCGTACTCGCGCGTGCCTCCCCGCCGCGCGCCTTGTTCCTGTGATGAAGATGTGGCTTTCGAGGTCCGAGGACGCCGAGAGCCGACGGCTGGGACAACTCGAGAAGGCCACGAAAAGGGCCAAAACCATGTATGCATGGCCTAAAAGACGGGTACGAGCTCGTATGCGAGACGCACGAGCACAAGAGGAGCGACACGAGATGATCCAGGACAGTATGCGAAAGTCCCGAGTGAAGGAAAGAACACACGCATCGAGTCGGGCTTATCGCACGAGACGCGCAAGGACGGGAAGACGTGTAAGAGGCCGAAGTTCCCGCGGGAGGAAATGGCAGGGTTGCATGCGATGGGCTGACTTGCGGATGGGCCTAGACGTGAGCACATACACATGGACGGGCCTGGATCGAGGCAACCGCGTAAGCGGAACTAGAATGGGCCTGACAGGCCGTGGGGCTAGCAACGGGTCTAAGGCCGCGCACGACCGAGCACGCGGGGGAGTACGTGGACGTGATGCGCAAATACACGAGGCGAGCCGTGCGAGCCGAGGAGCGAAGATTCTAGAAAAATATAATTAGATTAATTATGTAATTAGTATTTTATTAATTATCGTTCGTTTAGAATTGTTAGTATATATTGTTGATACCCAATTTGGCTCCAATTAAATAACTGATTAATAAAATAATAAAATACGGCCCGACAACCAAGAAGCCAGAAATATGTGATAAATAAATATACAAACAGGTTCTCGAGACCGATCGCCTAAAAATTGACCGGATTCCTAGATATCGAGTCCGCCAGCTACCGAGCCGGGTCGAATTTAGAGCCGCCTCCAGTAGATACCATAATTACCGAGGAGACAGACGTCAGTTGGAACCGACAAGAGTTATCAGCGGGCCCGCGATAATTATCTCACATTAAATAATGATGTATTATCTCTTATTCATTTAATCACCCACTTGTGAGGAATGTGGGGTGTATATATATGAGAGGGAGATGAGAGAGAAGGGGACCTTTTTTTTTTTCTTTTCCTTCACTATCCATCTCCTTCCTCCTAACAACATAAGAGAGAGGGTAGGGGCGGTTGGATGAGCTCTCTCCATTTTTTCATCTTCTTCCAAAATACATAAGAAATAAGCACCCATTTTCATCAATTTTGTTCTTCATTTTTTCATATATAGATTCGAATTATATTTGACGGTTGATCGTCCGATTTTCTACATCAACAGTTTGGCGCTAGAAGGAGGGCTCCGTAATTTGCTCGGAGTCAATTTTCGCCGGAAAACGGCCGCATTTCTACCGGAAAATATGCTCTCCACCGAGTTTGTATCTCATACCGATTTTCTCTACATTTATTTCTCCATTTTTCTTGAATATATATCACTACAATATACATATATGTTCATACCATAAAAAAAAAAACCAGAAAATATCCAATCTGCTCCCTCTCTTTTGCCGTGGATGGAAGATCCCAAGTTTGCTTTGATCTGCCTTTTGAAACTCCTTATAATTTGAAGAAAGACCATACAAAATCCTTAATTTTATTTTCTTTCTTGGGTAATTTGGTTGGAAAGAAGTAGAATCAGAAGCCTTTGCATCGGCATCCTGCTTGCTGCAAACGTATGCAGAGGCAACAATTCTTTTTCTTTCATTTTTCCTTTTCTTTTCTGTCCTTTCTAGCTGATTAAAAAATCATAATAATGTCATCTCACTTGGACATAGCCACGTTGCTACTGCTGTTACATCTTGTTCCCATCACATCATTACAGATAAATACATATATAATAATAGCAATAAAAAAATAAATAAATAAACAAAAAAAGAAAAAAGGAGCTGGAATTCAGAAAGTGTCGGCCAACTTCAATCCTTAGCTGCCAGACCAACATCGCAAGCCAATCAAACTACCGAGCTTGCACCCTCACAATCACCCAAATCACGCAGCACTGATTTCAAATCGAAAAACCTGGTTCTACCCAACCTCGACCGGGTGCCGACCCGATCTCCCTAGGTCGTCCTCAACTCCAGACTCGAACGCCGACCCAGTCGGAATCACCTCCACTGCCGCCGGGGCCGAGCGCACCAAACCCATCCTAATCTCACAATTACAGAACCGAGCCATATGAAACGGAAGGCCCGACCTCGCCATCATGGACACCCATACTACCGGGGTGAAAGCAACCACCATGGTCGACCTCGACGAACCGACACCGACGTCTCCGTCCTTACGGCCCGTGGACGCTCCCACCGCAGGTACCGGGCTGACTTGCCTCAGCGGGATAACCTCACACCGCCGGGCCGACTTCACGCCGAAGTTTGACTCGACACCGCAGGTGCCGATCAGACACATTCCTCACCAATGCCGGGCTGACGCTACCCTCGTATCTGTCGAACCAACCTAGCAAGCCGACTTCGCCGCCGGACCGACCTCGTGATCGACAGGCCGACCTCGCAAGCCGACCTCGTCGTTGGTGCCGACCTAATGACCGTCAGACCACCCTCGAAAGCCGACACA